TTTTTTGTGGGGCTATTATGAATGGAGTTGCTTTCCTAATTTCAGCCATACTTTTCTCATTGTTGGCATACAGAAAAGCCATTGATTTTTGAGGGTTAATTTTATACCCTGCTACTTTGCCAAAGTTTTGAATCAGCTTGAGTAATTTGGGAGTGGAGTCTGTGGGATTCTTTAAATACAAGATCATGTCATCTGCAAAGAGGGAGAGTATTACTTCATCTTTCCCTATGTGGATCCCCTTTATGTTTGCATCTTGTCTTATTGCTGTAGCTAGGCATTCTAATACTAGATTGAAGAGAAGTGGAGAGAGTGAACATCCTTGTCTCATTCCTGAGTTAAGAGGAAATGGCTTTAGTTTTTCACCATTAAGTATAATGCTGGCTGTAGGTTTGTCATATACAGCCTTTATTGTATTGAGGAATGTTCCATGGATTCCTAATTTTTCCAGAACCCTCATCATAAAGGCGTGTTGGATCTTGTCAAATGCTTTTTCTGCATCTATTGAGATAAGCATTACACATGGTTTTTGTTGTTTATTTCTTGTGTCAGTACTGGGCCTTGAACTCTGGACCTCAGGCTCTTGTTTGATTTTTCTACTCACGGCTGGTGCTCTACCACTTGAATCATTACTCCAGTTCTATTTTTTGCTGGTTAACTGGAGATAATAGTCTTATGAATTTGTCTGGCCTAGCTAGCTTTGAACCTAGATCTTCAGATCTCAGACTCCTGAGTAGCTGTGATTATAATCATGACCCACCAGCACCTGGCTTATTATACACATGTATCTTATTTTTAACTTACATTAATTATCTGAGGTAACTAGGGTGACCAACTTCCTGGTTTGCCTTGAACTTCTTACTTTTTTTAGATTTTTATTTTTTTTATTGTGAAAATACCATACAGAGGGGTTACAATTACATGAGCAAAGTAATGAGTACATTTCTTATGAAGCTTTGTTGCCTCCTCCTTTGTTTCCCCTTACCATCCCTGCCTTCCCATCTCCCCCCAACTTTTTACTTTTTGCACTAAATGATCTTAGGAACTCTCTTATTTCTGGGCAAACTGAGACGGCAGTTAGCATCACTCTAGAAGGTAGCATGGGACATGCTTCAGGAGACCACTTATATGATAAGTATGGAACATGCTTCAGGTGACCTCTTATATACTAAGCTGAAGCTTTTACTCAAGAATCTTCAACTCAATGCTTTTTCAATTTATAATGATCTTTGAGGGACATATTTCTCAACTGTGTCCTAAAATAAGAGTACATAAATTCTGAGTGGGGATATGAGAGCCTCTTGATCACAGACTTTCTACAGTCTGGCATATTACTTAGTGCTTACACAAAATTCACCCCCTTAGTGTTAATGTTCATAAGGCATGCATTTATATGAGTGGAACATGCACTGGGTAATAAATGTTACCCCAGGTATACCAACACCTATATTAATTCTGCTGATCTTTAGAGAAGCACCCTACTTGCAATCAAATATTCAGCTTTACACTCATTATGGATAGACAATTTGGTTATTTAAAACTTATGGAATTTTCAAGCTTTGAGTCAAGATAAATTTTTAAAGACACTATATATGGAGAACTAATTAATTCTGAAGCTTTTGAAGTTCATTAAAGTTAATTCCACCCAGTCTAGATATCTTAGCTTCATTGTGTTCCGATTTTGTTAGTTTGCTTACTACCAGTCAGAGATAACATTGAGATATCATCCCTCTCACAGCAGTTGGCACCTCACATGGTTTTAGGTGGCTCTCAATAATGTTATGCATATTTTTTCCAGTGTTGTGGCTTGAACTCGGGGCTGGGGTGTTATCCCTGAACTCTTCTGCTCAAGCCTAGTGCTCTACCATTTGAGCCACAGTTCCACTTCTGGATTTTTAGTGGCTAATTGCAGATAAGTCTCATGGACTTTTCTGCCCAGGATGGCTTTGAACTATGATCATAGATCTCAGGCTCCTGAATAGCTAGGATTAAAGAAATGAGCCAACGGCGCCCAGCTTGATTATATATATATTTTTTGGGGGGGTGTCCAGTCGTGGGGCTTGAACTCTGGGCCTGGGCACTGTCCCTCAGCTCTTCAGCCAAAGGCTAGTGCTCTACAACTTGAGCCACAACGCCACCTCCGGCTTTTTTCTTTTTGCTTATGTGGTTCTGAGGAATCGAACCTAGGGCCTCATGCATACAAGGCAAGCGCTCTACCACTGAGCCACTTTCCCAGCCCGAGGTTATATATTTTTAAAAGACAACTAGGGCCTATCTGTAAATGAAACGATACTACATACCTTATGTAGTATATATAGTTGCTTAGAATACATCTATCTTATGAGTAATTTTGTTGTCATCAAAAAGCATGCAATGAGCTGGGAGCCCAGTGACTCATGCTTGTAATCCTAGCTACTCAGGAGGTTGAGATCTGAGGAATGCAGCTTGAAGCCAGCCCAGGCAGGAGGAATCAAAAGGAGGGGGTAACAATGCTCAATAGGAAATGTACTCATTACCTTACTCATGTAACTGTAACCCCTCTGTACAGTATCTTTACAATAAAAAATTATTTTTTTAAAGTCTGTGAGATTCTTATCTCCAATTAACCACTCAAAAACCAGAAGTGGATTGTGGCTCAAAGTGTTAGAGTGCTAGCCTTGAGCATAACAGCTTAGGGACAGTGCCCAGGCCCTGAATTCAAGCCCCATGACCAACAACGACAACAAAAAAGCATGCAATGGGTCTGTGTACTCATCTACCTTGTCTGCACTGCATCACTATGAGACATTTATAGCTGGTCTTTATCCCCTTGCCTTAGTACTCTGACCTCAAATTCTATCTTTTCTTCCTTGTAATTCCAGGAGGAAGACATAATAAGAGAAAGCCGCTTCTACTTCCGTGGCTATGGCCTGGGTCACTGCCTGCAGACAAGGGATGGAGGTCCAATGGAAGGTTCTAGCATTTATAGCCCCCAACCTCCTGTTCCTGTTCTAAAGGAGGGAGAAACCATGCGGAAACTCTATGTGGACAGAGCTAAGAGAATTGACACCATCTCACGGGCTGTTTTCCCTTTTACTTTTCTCGTCTTCAATATCTTTTATTGGGTTGTCTATAAAGTACTACGGTCAGAAGATATCCACCAGGCACTATGAATTTAGTGGGCTCTAGAGTCCAGCTGCTGGCTTCCTGCTTTCTCCTGATTGGGCTTTTTCCCTCCATTAGATGCCATCAGGAACTTGAATAGTTCTTTTTTGGCCTCCCACTCAGAACTTCAATTACCAATCCCAAAGCTATGTGGTCCTACACTGCAAACTGCCATCGGTGGCTATACTTAAAAAGATGGCTTATCTACCTTAATTCAGATTTTTACCCTATGCTCTCATTTCTCATGAGATTAAGGTGTGGCCATGGCTCTGTGGGCAGGATTACTTTCTGCCTTTGCTGACTCCTGCCCCCCCCTCTAACTTCCCACCCCTGACCTGTTATCCTGGCCATTACTACTAGATTCCCATTTGTACCATCTTAATTCTTCACCTTGCCACTTCAGGTCTTGGCCTTTATTCAGCCCTCTATCTCTCCTACTACATGCTCAAATAAGGAGTCTATCTCATCCATGAGCACTGTCCTGTCAGGTGTCCTTAAAGTGAGAGGAAAATAAGGGCATAAGTTTCCTACCTGGAACAGACATAGGTTGCACTAAGTTAGGGTCTTGTTATATGGCCTGAAGGAGAGGTGTTCAACTCTCCTGAGAAATCCCACACTGTCAGAATTGGGGCAAGAATCCTGGATGATCAAAAATAATCATTCTATTCCCTAATTAGCATAGTGATAGCATTTCTTAGGATGCTGGATGGTGTAAAAGGTTTATATACTTAAGGAACTTACTTGATGACGCCAAAAAAAAAGATCAAAGGGAATAGGAACAGGAAGAATGAAATATAGAAACTATTCTCAGAGCCAATGACTAGCTGGGTTTTCTTTTGTCTCTTTTCTTTCCTTTTTAAAAAAATCCTACACTGAGATGTGAACTCAGGGCCTCTCACTCACTTGGCTTTTTTGCTCAAGGCTGTCACTCTACCATTTGAGCCAGATCTCCAGTTCCAGCTTTTTGCTGATTATTTGGAGATAAGAGACAGATTTGTCTCCTGGGCTGGCTCCAAACTATGATTCCCATTTGCTTCTTATTTTTCTCTGGCTTATATTCCTGGACCCCTCATTTCCAACTTGCTCTTTTCTTCAGTGAGCAAATAATGGTGCCTGCCATGCAACCTTGTTCTAGATGAAGTTATCGTCTAAATTCCTGAGGAGGAAGCAGGCATATAGATGGTCCCTATCCTGGACAAACATCAACTCAACAAACTTCATAATAGCAGTTATAGACAGCAATAATCAGAATTGTCCTTTCCCCTTTTCTAGTCACCCTGCTCCTTCTCTAGGCAGGAACAGGGAGGAGATGTAGCACTCAGATAAAGCTACTCAAAAGGTCAGAATGGAAAGGGCTGGTATGGAAGAGACCATTTTAAATCTAAAATACCCCTGGGACATGGAGAAGCATGGAACTGGTTCCCTGAGTCCCTTCAAGTGACTAAATTGTGAGGAACAGAACATAATGTTCTATTCCTGTGGGGCCAACAGTTAGAATAAGTTGTCAAATAATCTCTTAGATATCATGTCCTTTTCTCTGGACCTAGAGTGATAATTCATTATATATAAAGAGTCAGTTTCTTCCTTTCTCCTCTCTCCCTCTTTCCTTTCCTCCCTCCCTCCTTCCACATGGTATTCCAAATTGAAGGTTAATGGTCAAAGTAAATCCTATAGTCAAACAAAAAACTGAGCCTTCTTCTTCCTCATTCATAATATTGTGCTTATTGCTGGGTGCTGGTGACTCATGCCTGTATTCCTAGCTACTCAGGAGGCTGAGATCTGAGGAATGAGGTTCAAAGCCAGCCTGGCCAGGAATGTTCGTGAGACTCTTATCTCCAATAAACCACTCAGAAAGTCAGACGTGGAGGGGCTGGGAAGTTGGCTCAGTGGTAGAGTGCTTACCTCGCATGCCTGAGGCCCTGGGTTCGATTCCTCAGCACCACATAAGCAGAAAAAAAAAGCCAGAAGTGGTGCTGTGGCTCAAGTGGTAGAGTGCTAGCCTTGAGCTGAAGAGCTGAGGGACAGCACCCAGGCCAGAGTTCAAGTCCCACAACCAACAATAAAAAAACAAAAAACATATTGTGCTTGTCTACTCTTCCCTATTCACTGAGATATACTTCCTGTCTGTTGGTTTTAAAGACTGGGCAGAGGTAACCAAGATAGATGGTCTAAAAATCTTTTGTGTACTGGTTCTGGGACTTAAACTCAGGGCCTACGTGCTATTCCTTAGCTTCTTCTGCTCAAGGCTAACACTCTACCGCTTGAACCACAGCTCCACTTCTGGCTTTTCTGGTAGTTTGTTGGAGATAAGAGTCTCATAGACTTTCCTGCCTGGGAAACTGCAATCCTCAGATGTCAGCCTCCTGAATAGCTAGGATTACAAGTGTGACCCACTGACACTCAGCTTTTTTGTTGTTTTTTTTTTTTTTCAGACAGGGTTTCTCTATGTAGCTCATACTGGGCTGGAATCAAATTCTTGGTTCTCCTTTTCATGCTTCCCAAGTACAGAAATTACATATAGCAAAGAGCCCCTGTTTTTCCATTTTTGCCCAGGTAATGCCAATCAATAGGAGGCCACAAGCAATACTCCATTTGAAAGGAGCAGAGAGTACCTCTTTGATACTCTCCATGGTGAGACTGGGGTGTCAGGCTGCTGCAGCCCGAAGGCGGGGATAGCGGGGGATGGACTATGGAGATGAGCTTATTGCACAGAGCTCTACTTGTTATAGATCTTGTCCAGATGGGCCAACTGCACAAATCTGCCCTGTTGGAAGTCTCAAGAACAATGCCCTGGAGATAGCTGCAGTACTGAGCCACAGAGCCTGTCAGGGCATCAGCTGGTGCTGGGAGCCAAAGAAGCCAAAGTACCAACTAACATAATAGCCCAAAGGAGAGTCTACAAAGCTACTCAGAAGCAATGCCAGGTGGAAGGTACCATCCCTCCCAATGGAGCCTCTAAGCTAAGCAGAAAATGGAGCTGTACAGTGGCAGAATCAGATGCACATGGCTTTCATTTTCTTTATCCTTCCCATATATACACAGGGGCTGAGAGAATGTCTCATCTCACAGAGAGCATCTGACACTCAGCAATCCATTTAATCATGGAATTCTTAAACTGAGACCTTGGCAAGCAGGGATATTAGAAGCTCACTTAGAAGTCATGTCTATTTATCATCTTTCTTGTGGCTCTCACCTCTCCAGAGACCCAAACTACTTTTTCACATCCAAAATGATTCTGAAATTTAAAATAGCATTTTTAAAGGGGGGAACTTCCTACATAAGTGAAGTGTTCTAAGTGTTTTCATTAATTCATTATTAATACTTAATGTCAGTTAAATATTTTATACATATATTTTTTCTAGAGAAAGGACTTTCCTTATTCAGTTATTGTTAAGGCTATCAGCACCTTCATCTTTCCTTCAGCTTGCTCTGCTACTTGGAAAACCAGTGGTTTGTTGTCCTATTTCCCCCAGTGCACAGCGTGGCTGCTTGATATCCCAGAATTCATAAGCAAAGCAAAAAGAGCTTTCTATCTAGAAGAAGGGTAGTGAATAAAATTTGTTCCTTTAGTTTTCTCCCACAAACATTTTTCCCCACCTATCACCAAAGAACAGACACTATTCTATTTTAAAAATTAAATTGAGTTAGTTATTTCTCTTTTCATTGTGACAATATCTCAACTTTGTCCAGAAGAGATCATCTCTTGAGAATTTTGATGTGTCCTCACTTGCCTCTCTCCCTCTTGATTCATTATTATCAAATTGGTAGTTGTTATTCTTATCTCATCATTCCTACCTACCAAAATCTTAATTTGATTTCACTATGTTAGAATTTTTATCTGCTAAGGCTGCTCTGTTAATGAATACAAATAAATCAAACATGGTAACCACCCAGAGAAGCCACAACCTAGCTTCCTAGCCAGGTTGTTTATTAATTGGTTCAATGAAAGAAATATCGAATAAAAATAAACTCTTTGAGGGTAAAGACTGCACCTTTCCTTTATCGATCACACAAAACTAAACCTGGCATAAATCTCATAAAGTCATAGAGTTCACACAAACAGATGTGCTATTCTTTGGAACTATGAGAAACAAAAAGATACCAGCTGGGCACTGGTCACTTGTGTCTATAATCATAGCTACTGAGATGTGAGAATTGTGGTTCTAAGTCAGCCTTGGTAGAAAAGTCCATGAGATTCATCTCCAAATAACCACCAAAAAGCCAGAAAATGGCAGTGTGGCTCAATTGGAGGAACATCAGACTTGAGCATAAAAGCTAAAAGACAGTACACAGGCCCTGAGATCAAGCCCTGGTACAGGCATCTTCCCCCCCCCCCACTGCCCACACACCAAAAATTTGTAAACTGCCACCATGAATTAAGAATGATAATGTCCTAATTAGCAATACTCTTTCATATATGACCACTTGAAGGCAATCACTAGATGAAAACCATCTGCTTCCTCTTGTTCCATACATTGTTTCTGCTGGAGAGATGGTCACCTCTGGAGAGACAGCATCACATTCCCTGGTACATCACACTTCATATCTAGAGTGATAGCTCACAGTGAAGAGAATGACATCTGAACCAATGTACCCTCACAGAGCATTCTCTCCATGGAAAGACAAAGACAGCATGCTGTCATGAAGCCACCTGGAGAAGTCACATGAGAACTCAACTATTAACACCTTTCTGGAGTAGCTATTTTTTTTCTTTTTTCCATCAGCTGCCTTCCCTATTCAGCCTTCTACAAATACTATGTGGTACACTACAAAGGAAGTACATGCTTTCACTGTCAATTCCCTGAAGTAAAGGAAAATTCTTACTATTACCTCATTTACTGAACATTTTGCCTTACAAAACAGGATCTAGAAAAAAATGTACACATATATTTCTCTCCTAACAGCTTCTATTCCTGTCGGTGTAGTGATAAAGACCAGTGTGTTGGTTTTGATACCAGACAGAACCCAGGTTTGAATTATAATTCTAGTACTTAGTTGACATAGGTTTCTGGAAAATTTACTCCACC